ACTGCACTCCAGTCTGGGCGACTGAGTGAGACTCCAACTCAAAAAAACAAAAAAACAAAACAAAAAAAAAACAAATTCAAGGGCTATTTGATAGAGACTATATGTGGCCAGCAAAACCGAAACTATTTGTCATCTGGTCCTTTAGAGTTTGGCCCCTCTGCTCAAAGGAACCTTTACTTTCTTTCTTTTTCTTTCTTTTTTTTTTTTTTGAGTTGGAGTCTCACTCTGTCGCCCAGACTGGAGTGCAGTGGCCGCTCCCGGCCACCGCAGCCTCGACCTGCTGGGCGCCGGCGATCCTTCCGCCTCAGCCTTCCGAGTAGCCAGAATTACAGGCATGCGCTACCACGCCTGGCTGATTTTTTGATTTATTGTAGAGGTGAGGTCTCGCTGCCCAAGCGGGTTTTGAACCCGCGGGCTCAGGCAATCCACTCACCTCAGCCTCCCAAAGGCGCGGGATTACAGGCTGAGCCACCGAGCCCGGTTTTTACTTTCTATTTTATACAGTTTATATTATTTGAAATTTTTTCACGAGTTTGTATTTCTCTTTAACTGTGATGATACACTTTTTTTTTTTGAGTTGGTACCCTCTGCTCTGGTACCCAGGCTGAAGTGCTGTGGCACAATCATGGCTACTGCAGTCTCAACCTAATGACCTTAGGCAATCCTACCACCTCAGTCTTCCAGGTAGCTAGGACTATAGGTGTGAGCCAACACTCTGGTTAAATTTTTGATTTATTGTAGAGACAGGGTCTCACCATGTTGCCCAGGCTGGTCTCCAACTCCTGGGCTCAGGCAATCTTCTTGCCTTGGTCTCTCAAAGTGCTAGAATTACAGGCATGAACCACTGTGCCCGGTGACACTTTTTAAAGGACGAAGAAAAAGAAATGTTTAAAATATACTAAACCATACTGATTCTGTCACTGCCCCCAGCTCTCTCCATGGCAATCCCTTGATAGAGACTATAGATTTATAAATGGATGACAGAAGCACACTTAGAGAGGGACCCAAAAAACCCACTCTCCCTCTGAGGTGTGGAGCCAGCAATCTTAGCAGGCAACACGGTGTGCTGAAGGTAGAAGACAGGTCAAGGGCTTACTGCCACAGCCACATAGGCCATCTTCTCCTGGGTGGGCACATTATGGCATTTTTGCAGCCTCTTCAGTAGCCTCCACAGAATCCAGTGGGTGTCGAACAGCTCTACTTCCAGGGTTCTCCACAACTCAGCTAGATGCCTAGAAATCCCAAAGAAGAAGTTTCAGTAGAATGACTTATTTCAGCCTACCATGATCACAACCTTCCAAGAGACTGTCTGAAACCCAATCTACAAGAGGTTTTCCTCTCTGCTCAGTTGCAGTCTCTCAAAAGATTTAACTATCTGATTTCATAACTGTAACTCCCAAGGTTTTATGGAATCAAGCTCCTAGTGCCTCAGCACGGCTGTTCATAAACTGGTTCTGACTTCACTTTTTAGCTCCTCCACGCTCCCTATCACATACTCTGTGCTCAAGCCACCCAGACCTTTACCAAGCAAACCACAGACTCAAATCCTATCCCTTTGCTTTTGTCACTTTCTTAAACTGGAAGGCCCTTTCCCAAATTCTTATCTATCTGTCAAAATCCTTCAAGGTCTAGCTGAGTACGGTGGCTCATGCCTGTAATCCCAGTACTTTGGCAGGCTGAGGTGAGAGGATTCCCTGAGCTTAGGAGTTCAAGACTAGCCTGGGCAACATAGCGAGACCTCATCTCCACAGTAAATTAAAAAATTAGCTGGGTGTCATGCTGCGTGCCTATAGTTCCAGCTACTTGGAAGGCTGAGGTGGAAGGATTGCTTGAGCCCATCAGGTTGAGGCTGCGGTAGTCATGAGTGTGCCACTGCATGCCAACTGGCAACAGAGTGAGATTCTGACTCAGGAAAGAAAAAATCCTTCGAAGTCCAGCTCCAATGTAATTTCTTCTGCTTCTTCAACATTTATTATTTCTTCTTCTTAGAAGCTGGTTCAATCTTATGTGTGCTATTGTCAGTTCCTTGCATGTGTATTTATCTGTTCCCGCTGAAGAAAGGGATTATGTTTGGTTCTTCTATGAATTCCTCAGGGCCTAGAACAATACCAGGTTCACAGAAGCCATTAAAGATACATTTATTCAAACTGGTCTATGGTCCTCAAATTTTGGCTAAAGCCAATCCCTGAAATAAAGCTTTTTTTTTTTTTTTTTTGAGTTGGAGTCTCACTCTGTCGCCTAGACTGGAGTGCAGTGGCCGCAGCCTCAACCTGCTGGGCTCAGGCGATCCTTCCGCCTCAGCCTTCTGAGTAGCTGGAATTACAGGCATATGCTACCATGCCCGGCTGATTTTTTGATTTATTGTTGAGATGAGGTCTCGCTGCCCAGGCGGGTCTCGAACCCGCGGGCTCAGGCAATCCACTCACCTCAGCCTCCCAAAGGCGCGGGATTACAGGCTGAGTCACCGAGCCCGGCTGAACTAAAGCTTTGATTCTGCTTGGAAGAGATCTTTTTTTTTTTTTTAAAGAAAAATGATATGTAAAAACTTTTCTAACATTGATTCAAATGTAGGACCTAAGACTTATACAAACATTGTGGAAGAGTACTATGGTGGGTGGGAGATTAGGAGTTGTGCTTTTAATCCATTCTCTTATTTTCAGACTCTACCTTGTATGCTAGAGTTTTTAAAGTGTGGCCTTCCAACCATCTACAGGAGAATCACCCTAAAAAACAAGAAGCTTAAAGCCTATCCCAACATTTACTCCCTACTCTAGTAATTCTAATCTGTAAATGACACAAAGAAGGTCCTAAAGGACTCTTAGAGGAAAGGTCAGAAGGCATGTGGGATGCTGGAAGGCTTCTGTCGAGAGAAAGATAAGATGGCAGAACAGGAACCTTCATCCTGTGATGACACAAAGAAGTTCCTGTGTCTACTTACCCTTGGTATTTCCTCTGAAGCCCCAAGGAAGTAAATGGAGGGTTTTGAGAAGCGATTTCCTGTGAGAGAAGAGCTTTTGGTTTGCAGCACACTAAGTGTGCTGGGAACTCATCTGAATGAAGAAAGCATACATCCTTATGCCAATGGTTCATGCCTTTAAGCGTGCAAAACATCCAAGTGTTTGTTAAAAATATAGAGGAGATCTTCCCACCTCCATTGACACTGACTTTGTGGTTGTGAAAGGTTTTTTATTTGCCCATGATTCCTTCAAGAAACTGCCCTTTCAGGATCCTTAATAATCCTGTTTGGTCCATGTAGTTTGTGGGGAGCTGACTTCAAATCAGGCTAATCAGAGTCCTACCGGGGACATCTGTTAGAGCTAAACAGCAAAAGACATTCCCTTTCCACTGCAGTTTTGAGCTGATGATGACCATCTTTGCCACCCTTACTGCAAGCCCAACTGAGAGATGAAGAGAGACAGATGGAATAAACTGATGAAATAAACTAAGACTCTGGATTTAATTCCTGAAGATTGATCCTTGGACTTTCCTGTAATATAAGTCTATGCAATTCCTTAAGCTAGTTTGAGCTCAGTTTCTGCTACTTCCACCTAAGAGTCCTGACTAATACAGTGGGGACTTGGAAATTGCATGTTTAGCAACCTGCACTGGATTCTGATGCAGTGCTTCTCAGACAACACTTTAATAAACACTGCACTAGGAGACTGGAGAAGGCCACATCTTTGAAAACAAATATTGTACTGTAGCCCCACTATAGGATAGAAAGAAAACAGACTCTTGAATGGAGCCCTGCACTACGACAGTAAGAGGAATGTATGTCACATATGTGTTCCAATACTTCTTTGTCTAGACCTGCACTAGTGAACTGAGTTTCCTAAAGTATTTCACGAACCATAGAGACATAGACAGTGGTGAAAATGTAGTGTAATTCCTGTTTGAGTAAATGGTATCACAGTCAACTTGACCTCCAAAGCCTGAAATTGGGGAGTTAGCCAGAATGCCTTCTTCTTTCCTGCCATTCTCTGATTCAATCAAGACCTGCCGACAGATACTCCTGTTTCTTTAATGTCACCTCTCCTCCATCTCTGGAGCCACTGCCCTACGTCATGGCATCATCTTTTGCCTGAGCAGATGCCACTGCTGAACTGTCAGCCCTGCCTTCCAGCTGGGAGTATACCTCCAGTGCATCTCCACCGGAGTCCCACTGAAAATGCACGTCTGATGACAGTAGCCTCTTAACAAAAGCTCTTTAATGGCTCCCCATCTCCTGTAATACAAAGCCGTTCTCACAGTTCTAAGTAAGTTGGTTTCAATCTATCTCTGCTAATTTCTTTTTTAAAAAATAGACTGATCTTATTTATTTATTTATTATTATTTTTTTGAGTTGGAGTCTCACTCTGTCGCCCAGACTGGAGTGCAGGACTTCAGGTAAATGACCAAAAACATAATCACAGGATGAAGTTTCCTGAGTAAGTCAGCTGCATTTCTCAAAATTCTACAGTTTTCATATGGTCTAAAGCAATAGTTTTCAAAGTCCTTCCAGAGGAAAGACAAATATATGTATAGAAGAATGTTAAGAGTATACTTAACTACATAAATTTAATATTTTGTACTTGGATTTGTTTTATATAAGAAACTAGTGCAGATAAGCTACAGCAAATACCAAACATTTAAGAGCTATTTATTAGAGAAATACACAAAAGTAAGCTCAAAATATATTTTTTTTGAGTTGGAGCCTCACTCTATTGCCCAGGCTGGAGCGCAGTGGCACACTCATGGCCACCCCAGGGTCAACCTGCTGGGCTCAGGCGATCCTTCCACCTCAGCCTTTCAAGTAGCTGAAACTACAGGCACACGCTACTACACTTGGCTTATTTTTTCATTAATTGTAGAGATGAGGTCTCACTGAGTTATCCAGGCTGGTTTCAAACCCCTGAGTTCAGGTAATCCTCTCATCTCGACCTCCCATCAAAACATTTTTTAAAAAAATAAAAATAAAAAACCGGTCCAGGCTCGGTGGCTCAGTCTGTAATCCCAGCATTTTGGGAGGCTGAGGTAAGTGGATTGCCTTAGCTCGCAGGTTCGAGACCAGCCTGGGCCACTCAGCGAGCCCTCGTCTCTTCAATAAATCAAAAATTAGCCAGGTGTGGTAGCACGCACCTGTAGTTCCGGTTACTTGGAAGCTGAGGCAGAAGGATCACCAGAGTCCAGCAGGTCGACACTGGGGTGGCTGTAAGCATGCCACTACCTTCCAGCCTGGATGATGGAGTGAGACTCCAACTCAAAAAAGAAAAAAAAAGGCTGGACTTGGTGACTCAGCCTGTAATTCCAGCACTTTGGGAGGCCGAGGCGAGTGGCTTGCTTGAGCCCGCAGGTTCAAGACCCACCTGGGCACCTTGGTGAGACCTCATCGCTACAATAAATCAAAAATCAGTCGGGTGTGGTAGCGTGCGCTTATTGTTCCAGTTACTTGGAAGGCTGAGGCAGATGGATCACTGGAGCTCAGTAGGTCGATGCTGCAGTGGCCATGAGCGTGCCACTGCACTCCAGCCTGGGCGATGGAGTGATACTCCAACTCAAAAAAATTAAAAAATTAAATAAATAAAAAAATTCAAAAGCTGGGAGTGATGGTGCATGCTGTAGTCCCAACTACTCAGGAGCCTGAGGTGAGGGACAGTTTGAGCTCAGGAGTACAAGGCTGCAGTGAACTGTGATTGAGACCCAGTCTCTTTAAATAAATAAATAAACAAAAGTAAGAATGTTACTCTAGGCTGAGTGCAGTGGTTATTCATAAGCACGATTATTGCATATTTCGTTCCCAAACTCCTGGGCTCAAGTGATCTTCCTGGGACCATAGGTGCATGCCACCAGGCCTGGCTTAAAAAATCTATATGGTTTTTTTTCCTTTTTTCTGAATGGGTAAAAGTATTCCATCTTGATTTAGTAGTAGTATGTCTAAGTTCAGTTTAGAAAACATAAACATTATACCAGAATATTGTGTGGGAGCCATTCACCTAAAAAAAGGGGTTTTCAAACAGCTTAAATAAATTGGTTGCCCAGAATCACAATATAGAAAGCAGTCAAAGAAAGGTACTGCTCTAGTTACTGTGGAGGGGGCCTGAAGCTTTTTTCTGAGGTTTTCCTGCCTCCCCCACAGGCATTTCTTAGAATTCCAGGGGCCTCCACGTATGAAAAATACTCATCATAAAAGCCAGCTTGCTTGCTTTCTCCCCTCTCCAAGTCGACTCTTCTTTATGTACACAGGTGTGCTTTCTCTTTATTATTTTATTTTTTACCTAGGAACCTGTTAGACATTTTCTTTTTAATGTATATATGTACACATATTTCCTTATTTTTAGGCAAAATCATTCTCAAGTGAGTTGCATACATCATGACATTTTACCCCTAAATAACTTTAGTATCTTATTTCCTAAAAATAAGGACATCTGTCTGCATAACTGTACTAAGAAATCTAAGAAAAATTACATTAATTTAATAAGAAATCTAAGAAAATTACATTAATTTAATAATCTAGTATAGAGTCCATATTTAAATATTCTCAAGTTTTGTTTTTGAGCCAGGATCCAATCAAGGTTTCATACAAAGTCTGACAAGTAAGTGAACTCATCCTATAAAAAGTGCTACATACCTCTTTGCTAACTATCACTACAGTCACCTTAGAAGCACTTCCCTTCGGAAGCTATGCACCAACGCCAGTGCCTAGTCCACCTATCAAAGCAATCTTGGAACTCTTTCAGGAATGGTCATCAGAGCTGTCGTCGCGAGAATGTCGGAGTTTGAATGAGAGCAATGAACAAACATTGAATTTCTTGTTAAACTTGAGAAGAGTGAAAGTAAAATCAGGAACATGTTAGTCTAAGTTTATAGGGATAATGCCATGAAGAAAACGGCAGTGTACAAATGAATTAAATATTTTTCTGAGGGGACAGAAAGAGTCACTGATAAAGAGAAGTCAGGATGGTCAGTAATTAGCAGAATTTTTCACAAAATTGCAACAATTCGTTAAATTTTGCATCAAAATTGATGGCTGACTGTGAGAAGCATAGCAGGCCAATAAACATCGATAGAGAAATAGGAAAAACTTAACTGAAAATCTTGGCATGAAAAAGGTGTGTGCAAAAATGGTCCCAAAGGAGCTCTTGCACCACAACAGTGCTCACACAGCACTGTCTGTGAGGGAGTTTTTAGCCAGTAAACAAATAACAACTGGAACACCCTCCTTATGCATCTGATCTGACCCCCAATGATTTTTTTTTACCTGAAGATAAAGGAAATATTGGAAGGAAGACATTTGATGACATTTAGAACATCAAGCGTAATATATCAACAACTCTGATGGCCATTCCAGAAAAAGAGTTCCAAAATTGCTTCGACAGTAGATAAGGTGCTGACATCAGTGCATAGCTTCCCAGGGGAAATATTTGGAAGGTGATGGAAGTGATATTCAGCAATGAGGTTTGTATTACTTTTCCTATGATGAGTTCCAAACTTAATTACCAGCCCTCATAGTACATTTGGGTATGTCGCTTTAGTATCTTTTTTTTTTTTTGAGTTGGAGTCTCACTGTGTTGCCCAGACTGGAGTGCAGTGGCCACTCCTGGCCACCGCAGCCTTGACCTGTTGGCCTCCGGCGATCCTTCTGCCTCAACCTTCCACATAGCTGGAACTACAGGCGCGCGCTACCACACCCAGCTCATTTTTTGATTTTTATTGTAGAGATGAGGTCTCACCAAGTTGCCCAGGCAAGTCTCGAACCCGCAGCCTCAGGCAATCCACTCACCTCGGCCTCCCAAAGCGCGGGATTACAGGCTGAGCCACTGAGCCTGGCTTTACTTTAGTATCTTTATGTCTAGGATAGTGTCTTTTACCACCATTTTTTGCTTTCATGATGTTAACTTTTTTGAAGAGTTCAGCCCAATGATCTTTTAGAATGTTCTTCATTCCAGATTTATTGGATTGTTTCTTTATAATTATGTGCTATATTTAGATTTATATCACAAGCATTTATTTATATTTTATCTCCTCTACAAGAGAATCATTAGATTTTTAGAGCAACCATGTTTCACAGTCAGAGCTATGTTAACATTCCCCAATTTAACCCAAAGACTGTACAGGGTGCTGTTACCTGTCATATGGTACTGGATGACACAGAAGGTGGTTGAGCACTATATCTGTGTACTTGGGCCTGGATATAAACAAACTCACAGTATTTATGATTTGTTGACGGACTCTAGAATGGCTGATTATGGCTAGCTGGGCACAGATAACACCCATAATTTCTGGCACCTGAAGAGGAAAAAGAAATCACTAAGACCATAATCCTGTAGAACACTGATGGTTACTGAGAATATCGTGGCCATTTCTGAAAGGTCCTAGGGGGTGACTTTTAAGCAAAATGTTTATTATTTTTAAAAGTTTATTATCAGCCAGGCGCGGTGGCTCACACCTATAATCCCAGCACTTTGGGAGGCCAAGGTGAGAGGATTGCCTGAGCCCACGGGTTTGAGATCAATCTAGGCAACTTGGTGAGACATCATCTCTACAGTAAATAAAAAAATTAGCTGGGTGTAGAGGCACATGCCTGTAGTTCCAGATACTTGGAAGGTTGAGGTGGAAGGATCGCCTGAGCCCAGCAAGTCGAGGCTGCGGTGGCCATCAGCATCCCACTGTACTCCAACCTGGGCAACAGAGTGAGACTCCGACTCAAAAAAGAAAAAGTTTATGAGCCGGGCTCAGTGGCTCAGCCTGTAATCCTGTACCTTTGGGAGGCTGAGGTGAGTGGATTGCCTGAGCCCACGGGTTTGAGACCCGCCTGGGCAGCGAGACTTCATCTCTACAATAAATCAAAAAATTAGCTGGGCATGGTAGCTAGTGCCTGTAATTCCGGCTACTCGGAAGGCTGAGGTGGAAGGATCGCCGGACCCCAGCAGGTCGTGGCTGTGGTGGCCGGGAGTGGCCACTGCCCTCCAGTCTGGGCGACAGAGAGAGAATCCAACTCAAAAAAAAAAAAAAAAAGTTTATTTTCAAAGCTACTTAAAATATATGAGTATATCTGAATGGGTGTATATGCATATAGTGGGGTCATTTTTATAATAAAAATGTTAATTTGTCTTTGAGTGATAAAATATTAGATTTTTTTCTTACTTCTATATTTTTCTAATTTTTCCTCAATGAATATGTATTGATTTTATAATAAGACAAACTAATAAAAGTGCTGCAAGGAAGCTGGGCTTTTTTCCTCTGTGACTCTGAAAATGGCAGAGGAGTCTTTAACCACCTTCCTCCCAGAAATGTTCATCAGGCTCATATAGAGGAAACAGGAGCCACTAGACTTTGGTCCTTTTCTCTGCTTGGTCTACTCTTCCCACCCCTAGACTCATGGCTTTAGGTCTCTGGAAATGTCAGCTTCTCAAGAGAGGTAGTCCTTCAGAATTTTACATCAAATAGCCGTCATCATCAACAGTTATCAGAAACTGGCTTAATAATAGGCAGGTAATGCAATTCTGGCCAGTGAAACATAAGGGTAAATTTGCAGGGGGCTTTTTTTTTTTTTTTTTGAGTTGGAGTCTCACTCTGTCAACCAGACTGGAGTGCAGTGGCCGCTCCTGGCCGCCACAGCCTCGACCTGCTGGGCTCCAGTGATCCTTCCGCCTCAGCCTTCCAAGTAGCTGGAACTACAGGCGCGCGCTACCACGCCCGGCTAATTTTTTTGATTTATTGTAGAAATGAGGTCTCGCCAAGTTGCCCAGGCATGTCTCGAACCCGCGGGCTCAGGTAATCCACTCACCTCAGTCTCCCAAAGCTCTGGGATTACAGGCTGAGTCACCCAGCCCGGCTTGCAGGGGGCTTTATGGGAAAGATTTTCTTCACTGAAAAAGACACAAAAAGGGACCAGGTGCAGTGGTGCACACCTGTAATCCCAGCACTTTGGGAGGCTAAGACAGGAGGCTTATTTGAGGCCAGGAGTTTAGATCAGCCTAGGTAACACAATGAGATCCCATCTCTACAAAATAAAAAAAAAAATAGCCAAGGTTATGGTATAGCACGCCTATAGTCTCAACTACTTGGGAGCTGAGGCAGAAAGATCGTCTGAACCCATGAAGTCGAGGCTGAAGTGAGCTGTGATTGTGCTACTGCACTCCAGCCTGGGCAACAGAGTAAGAAGACTCCAACTCAAAAAAGCCAGGTGTGGTGGCATGCTTCTGTAGTCCTGGCTATTCTAGAGGCTGAGGTGAGAAGATTGCTTGAGCCCAAGAGTTCCAGGCTGCAGTGAGCTGTGATCATGCTACTGCACTTCAGTCTGTGTGACAAAGTGAGACTCTGTCTTAAAAAAAAAAAAAAAAGCACAAAAAGGAAGGCAACATCTTTCTTTTCTCTGAGTACAGTCTTATCTGCTCATAAAGTCTGAAATTGCTGTGACTTACCTTATGACCATGTGAACAGACAAAGTAGAAAGATGAAAAAGCCTTTGGGTTCTTGATAACACTGTTGAATCACTGAGCTGATCTTGGAAAATACTCTCTGTCCAGACTTTTTATTATGTAAGACAATAGATCCCAGACTCCAGCTTCTTGAAGCTGGGCTTTTTTTGTCACTGAAAGTGCCCAACTGATACAATTGCCCATCTCACCATGCTCTCATCATACCGTTCTTTTTGCATCTTTGGTATTTTAATAGTTTAAAACATAGGCCCTCATCATTTTAAAATTACTTTTTATTTTTAGCCAAGTACAACATGCACACATTTTTAAGTCTCATGGTATTTCAAGGCTCTCTCCTCCCTGTTCCCCAAGTCTGCTCTCCAGAGACAACTCCTTTCATCCCTTTTCTCTTTTGGCAAGTCCTTTTCTATTTCTAAATGATACAATTATATGGTTATTTTTGACGTATGACTTTTAGATGCATTTAGATAAATTCTCTTGATTTTAAGCTTTCTAAATCTGCCTCCTGCTAAGAGTCATTTATGGCTTTTTAAAAATTGTGACACCTTTAATCCCTCTGGATAAGTATCTAAATAAAAATTACCATTTCCCATATGTGTTAATTATATCTCCTCAGCAAAACTCTAGTCTCCTGGAAAATACAGATCACACCTTAGATTTTAAAAATCACCCCCCTACCCCACCAGTTGCACACATAGGGTTGTTCAGTATGTTTATTAAGTGGATGAACGTTTGTGACCACGTGGCCCAAGTTTTGATGCTGCCCCACCAGTGGCTGTTCTCAGCTGGACGGGAGTACTAGAAGAGGCCTCAGCACTAGAAGAGGCCTCAGCACTGAGAGAGTGAAGGGGTCTTGCCCATATTTTGAACCCAGGAAATGGCCACTGAGGTTTTACCTTCTCAAAGCGGGACTCTGCATTCTTCACCAATGTTACCAACAATTCTCCTGCTGATTCCTGGGTACAGAGATGTCTCCGATTCTTCAGGCCATCCAATGTAGTCATTACAAACTGGAAGAGCTCATCTGAATCAAGAAAACCTTCAAAGACCTGAAATTATTGAGGAAAAATGAATTTCCCAGAAATATGGTAGGATAGAGCCCTGAACAAGGACTAGATTCTAAGTTAACAATTTGAGAATCGTACAAAGAGGTACAAGGTTATTTGCTTGTCTTGTTTGCATAGGTGAAAAGCTGGAAACAACCCACATGTCTGCTGTTAGGGTTTGTGCATGGCTTTTGCTACTTTTAGAGAGAAGTTTTATTCCGAGACCCTCAACAAGAGTCACCTTCTAGAGGAGAATGAAAGAAAAGGCCCTAGTGTTATACAGCTGATAGAGTCCCAGGTATAACTAAAATGCCTTGTCAGGAGGTATGACATATTAAAAGAATGTGTCACTTTGCTTCTCACTGCACTTGGCAGTACATGAGGTCCTTCACATAATTGTTATAGGTACAGTCTATTAGGCACTTACTATGTGACAGGCATTAAGCAAAGCATTTTCCATATGATATTTCATTTAACTCTTAACAACAATTCAATTGCAAAAACTGTAAATTGTAAAAAATTGTTAAAATTGCTGTCCCAATCTCCACTGGATAGATGAGAAAACTGATGTGCAGAGAGATTAAATTATCTGACACCTCTGACCCTACACGAGTAAGATCTGTGGGTTTTCTTTTTTTCCCTTAACCCCTAACATGTCTGGTACCTAGTTGACATGTAAATATTTGTTGAATAATGAATAACCACAATAATTTAAAAATGTCTGACTCATTGGATCAAGCACATTATCTTGCAGCTCCTTTTAGTGGCAAGGATTGACATTTGCAAGAGACTGGTAGTCAGTGGGAGCAGAGCTGACCTGAAGGGAAGTCCAGGGAAACTGGCCTCAATGGTAGGTTGACCTATACCTCTAAACCAAGAGGGCAAGATGTGTGAGAGTCACAAACATGATGTCCCACCTCCAAGGCACCGAATGTTTAGAGAACACATTCCCGGGTCAATCTTGTATGCTGAAATGACTAGAACTTTTTCCAAAGGGGTTTCAGCCATTTTACATTTCCACAAGCAGCTGCTCCCCACCCTCCCCAACACTCTGAGTTGTGGTCCTCATTCAGCCATCCTGATTACCTGGGCGACTATGAAGGGACAGCTGTGAAAGCACAGAATGCTATAGCGCTCCAGGAAGGCTTGACATTTTCTCAATGCTCTTTTCAAGCTTTGCTGGTTTTCCTTATCATGAGTGATATCTGAGAAAAAAATATGAAATATTAATATTCTGTAGCTTCTTTTTTTCTTCTTGATTTTACAAGTCTAGTTGATCTCCAGTTTAAAGTGGATCCCCAAATCTCACTCCTCGTGTCTTTTTCACTTGAACAAAAATGCCTGGGGAAGGGAGCATTTATTAATCTGAAAGTTGATTTGTTTCCCCTTTTTTTGTAGAACAATATATAAAAAGAAATGAATGAAAAGAGATTTTTGTAAAAGCAGAGCTTTTGAACAACTTATGAGTACAACTAAGGCATGCTACCTCATTTCCTTTCCCCACTGGTGACAAATTTTGAGGGGTCTTCCTATGAAGTTTAGGTCTTCACAAAAAAAATTGCCCAATTTTATACTGTGATAATTCCAATATTGGAGCTCTTCATGCATCTAGTTTTGCTGATTATTGTGTCTGCCAACACTCCCTATAGTATCTTGTTTTTCTTGTGATTTTTTGTGACCTCATGTTTGCTGGCAATGTATCTATGGAAAGTCTTTAAGTCCTTGGTTGAGGATATAGTCTCTCTAACTAGAAAATTAGCTCCCTGGAGGAAAAGACCTTGTTTCCTGATGCAGCCTTAGAATAATAAATGCTTCATAAGTATTTGCTGAATCAATAATCAACTGGATTTCCTGGGCTGTATATCTTGGTAGACATTATGCATTCTCAGAGCTCAGCCAGAACAGCCCTGAGAAGCATGCAGCTTCCTTATGCATGTGAAGAGCAAGCTCAGCAGAACTACAGTCATGTGTTGTTAACAACATGTACACATTCTGAGAAATGCATTGTTAGGTGCCTGCATTGGTGTGTGAACACCCTAGAGTGTACTTACACATACCTAGATGGTATAGCCTACTATACACCTAGGCTATGTGGTACTGCCTAGTGCTCCTAGGCTACAAACCCATACTGCATGTTACTATACTGAATACTGTAGGCAATGGAACACAATGGAAAGTATTTGTGAATTTAAACACATCTAAATATAGAAAATGTATAGTAAAAGAATGGTATAAAAAATAAAAAATGGTCCACCTGAATAGGGCACTTACCATGAATGGAACTTGTAGAAGTGGAAGTTGCTCTGGGTGAGTCAGGTCTAGGACGTTACTGAACACTACTGTAGACTTTATAAACACTGTTCACTTAGGCAACATCAAGTTTATAAAAAATATTTTCCTTTCTTCAATAATAAATTAACCTTAGCTTATTGTACTTTTTTACTTTAGAAACTTTTTAAATTTTGAAAAGTTTTTGGCTCTTTTGTAATAACACTTACCTTAAAACACAAACACATTGTTCATCTGTATAAAAATTCTTTCTTTACATCCTTGTTCTATAAGCATTTTCCTATTAAAAATTGCTTTTACTTTTTAAACTTTTTTGTTAAAAACTAAGAAACAATCACACTCATTAGCCTAGGCCTACACAGGGTCAGGATCATCACTATCACTGTCTTCCACCTCCACATCTTGCCCCACTGGAAGGTCTTCAGGGGCAAAACACACATGGAGCTGCCATCTCCTATGATAACAATGCCTTCTGAAGGACCTGCCTGAGGCTGTTTTACGGTTAATTTTTTTTATAAGTAGAAAGAATATATTCTACAATAACTCTAGTATAATAACATACTATATAAAATATGAAAATAGCTACCATGGGTGCCAAAAAAAGTATACATTTTTTTTTTTTTTTGAGTTGAAGTCTCACTCCGTGGCCCAGACTGGAGTGCAGTGGCATGCTCCTGGCCACTGCAGCCTCGACCTGTTGGGCCCCGGCCATCCTTCCGCCTCAGCCTCCCAAGTAGCTGGAACTACAGGCGCGTGCTACCACGCCTGGCTAATTTTTGATTTATTGTAGAGATGAGGTCTCACCAAGTTGCCCAGGCGGATCTCGAACCCGCGGGCTCAGGCAGTCAACTCACCTCAGCCTCCTAAAGCACTGGGATTACAGGCTGAGCCACCGAGCCCGGCTACCAAGTATACACATTTTAAGAGATGTTAAGAGCTGTTCACTGTAATCAGAAGTATTTGAACTCTGATGGTAACCACTTGGAGCATCTCTTGTAATTGCAAAAGCCAAACATGACTTGCATTCATCTTTTGCTATCAGTATATATTGAATATTATAGTCTTAATAATTTTTTCCTTTCTTAAAACGTGTATGCATTTTTAGCACCCTCTGTATAGTATAATATAGTAAAATAAATACATAAACCAGTAATACAGTCATTTATTATCATTACCAAGTATTATGTACTGTATGTAGTTATCTGTGCTACACTTTTATACAACTGGCAGTGCAGTAGGTTTACACGAGCATCACCACAGCACATGAGCCATGCATTACGCTATCACATTATGATGGCTGCGATGGCACTAGGCATCATTATGCAGCTCCATTATTATCCTGTGGGACCATTGCCTGTTGACTGAAATGTCATCATGTCACCTGGTGGGGATGGCGCAGACTGAGACTCTAACATGGGGGCGGGGGGGATGCTGAGTTACATGGTTTCTGAAGTCCCCTCATTCATTCCCTGACAAACTCCTCAAGCTCACATCTGCTGAGGGCCCTTGCTCACATTGTTCCCTCTGCTCAATACAGTCTTCTTACCCCTCATCTGAGGAATAGAGTTCTTCAGACTACCTTCAGAGAGGCCTTTTCAGAACCCCAAAACTATTAATAGCTTCGATTCTCACTCATGGCCCCTGCAATTTCCCTTCCTTAGTAGTTACCTTTGTTGACGATAACAAAGTTGTTGATTCTCTGATTGTCTGAATTCCCCACTAGACTGTCTGTAATATGAGGATTGGGACTGCTTGTGTTCTGTATTGTTGGAGCCTGAGTAAGTCCTAAATGAACATTTATGGGATCAATAAATGAATGATGGCCCGAATGACGGCAAGAACCTCTCCTACTTCGGACCAAGCTAATCACACCAGCTTGTCCACAGGGCCAGATGCTTAGCCACTCCATGACCGTCAGACGGCTGACAAGGTTGAGTTCGATCCAGTGTTAGGATTCTAAGCATTAAGTCAGTGATGCTTCATCTCTGCCTATGAACCTTGCACCTTTCTCCTTATGAACTACTGTAAAAAGTCTTTCTAGAACATGGGGAGTGAGGGCGTAAGGGGTGCTGGTGCTTATGTTGTGCTGAAGAATTCATTCAGGACCTTGCCACCTTTGGCAGTGCCTTACATTTCAGCTCCAGGGTGATTTGTAGCAGGTACTGTGTGCCTTTTGCTGCCTCCTTGACCACGTCTTCCAGTGGGTCCCCACACAGCAGTGCCATCAAAGCCACGAGATATCCAAGTCTTTGGAACCGCAGTGGAAGCTAATTAAGGAGAAAAAAGAAAAATGCCATCAGAATACAGGTGCCTTTAGTGCTTTAGGTTTGAGTTGTTTAGAAGTAATCCCAATTCAACAACCAACTCAAGAGAGATGCAAGGGTCACATTCAGCCTTTGGGTCTCTGTAGGGTTCACATTTAACATGGGTAGATCCAATATAACCAGCAGATAGTATTAAACAGGGAAATTCTAACCTAAGTAAATAATCTGAAACTGAAAAATCTTTGTGCATAAAGATGCTCATTCTAGCACTGTTTTTAAAGACCACATTTTGGAAATGATTGTGTAATAATAGTAAAGAAAATTATGGTATAGCCATTCTATGAATATGACCGTTAGAAATCAAGTATCTGAGCCGGGCTCAGTGGCTCAGCCTGTAATCCCACGCTTTGGGAGGCTGAGGTGAGTGGATTGCCTGAGCCCGAGGGTTCAAGACCCACCTGGGCAACTTGGCGAGACCTGATCTCTACAATAAAAAAAAAATTAACCGGGCATGGTAGCGCGCGCCTGTAGTTCCAGCTACTTGGAAGGCTGAGACGGAAGAATTGCCAGAGCCCAGCAGGTCGTGGCTGCGGTGGCTGGGAGCAGCCACTGCACTCCAGTCTGGGTGACAGAGTGAGACTCCAACTCAAAAAAAAAAAAAGAAATCAAGTATCTGAGAAATTTGTAATACTGGAAAATGTGCCATTCTGCCAAGAAAATAAGCTGAATGCCAAATTAAGATGTAGTGTTTAATACTATTTGTAAAATGTATTTATTCATATTCTGATTTATTATGGAAAAAATGTAAAGTAGCTGGCAAAAATCATACCAGAAAAAATATAACAAAATAAGTAGTGTCGAAAATTGGATAAATTAAAAAATTAGGGTAGAAAAGATAAAAGACGTTAAGAATTGTGTTAGCATACAGAATGTATAATCATCATTTGCTAGAGGTAGGCCACAGAGCCAGGCTGATGCAGAAGTCCATGCAATGTCCTGTGTAATGAGTCACTTTGTCCCTAAGATGAGAAGCAACTAGCCACACAGAGGAAGTACAACTTTTCCTAGGGTTGAGCAGAAAGAAGATTCTTCTGTGTTTCTGCAGAAATAAGATATAGAAATATTATGAACAACAGCCTCTACAACCTGATTACAGTAAACAGCGACACAAAGCTGTGTAGCATCTTTCATTCACTGAGATAACCTTCATTCATTTAGTCAATCAATAAATGCAGTGTCAATGATGAGCCAGGCTATGACTGGCACTGAGGATATAAGCAGTGAACAAAAAAGAACATACCTGCTTCTGGAGGTGATAATCTAGTTGGGGAAACATCAAGTTAAAAAAAAAGCAAAATAAAATAAATAAATACATAAATAAAATGTAAAATGTACTATGTATCAAATGTTGATAAACGTTACGATAAAGAAAAACGTAGGGGAGAGAGATCAGAATTGTTCTATTAGAATGGCCAGGGAAGACTTCACGAATACCGAAACGAGGGATTGAGCCATGTGGATATCTGAGAGAAGAGTAATCCAGGCAGAGAGAACAGCAAGTGCAAAGGGCTGAGAAAGGAGTGCTTGGTTTTTATTTTATTTTTTATTTATTTTTATTATTATAAAGATGTGGGGTACAGTTCAGGGTTAGGTATATAAATGTTCATTATGCAGGTACCCTTGTTGTGGGGTGTGCCCCTCCCTCCCCTGGCAGTTTCCCTCCCCTGCTCTCCTGGCAGTTTCCCATTACTGCCAATCTCTTTCTTATAATACTATGATTGTTCAAGGTCCCTTGTTTGGTGTTTTAGAAGAACAGTTAGTTCTTCTAAACTAACTGAGGTTGGCAGGAGCAAAGGAACAAGAGAAAAAGGAACAGGAAGTGGATAAAGAATGGACAGATGGTACAGCAGCTTACACAGTTTCTTAAGGACTTTGGGTTTTATTATTGGTGAGGTGGTGAGCAATCAGAGGGTCTCGAGCAGAGAGGAGACATGAGCTGACCTGCATTTATTCAATAAATATTTAATTGAGTATCAACCATGTGGCAGATCATGTGCTAGGCAGGGACAGGAACTACAGTGGTGAGCAAGACAAGCATAATCCCTGGTGGAATTTATATTCTACTAGAGGGAAACAGTTGATACACCAGTTAAGAAATAATCAAACCAACAACCTCTGATCTTAGGAAGCCCCAGGGAAGAAAAGAGTGATGAGACAAGTAGCAGGGCTGGTCTACTTGTGGAGAGCAACAGCCCTTTTCAGGTGGAGATAGCTGAAAAGAGCACTAAAGAACGAGGGAGAGCTGGCTCAGTGAAGAGCTGGGAAAGGTCATTCCAAGCAGAGAAAGCAGAGTGCAAAGGCTGCGAGGCAGGAAGAGCCTCAGTGGGAAGCAGTATAAAGGTGGCTGGCAGCAGAGAGGCAGGCAGATCATATGAGACCTTGTATTCCACAACAGGTGAACATCACTGGATCAAAAGAGTGACGCGTGGGCTGTGCTTGGTGGTTTAACCTGTAATCCCAGCACTTTGGGAGGCCGAGGCGAGTGGATTGCCTAAGCCTGTGGGATCGAGACTCACCGGGGCAACTTGGCGAGACCCCATCTCTACAATAAATCAAAAATTAGCCAGGTACGGTAGCATGGTAGTTCTGGGTACTTGGAAGGCTGAGGTGGGAGGGTTGCCTGAGCCCAGCAGGTCGAGGCTGCAGTGGCCTCAAGTATGCCACTGCGGTCCAGCCTGGGCAACAGAGTGAGACTCCAACTCAAAAAAAAAAAAGGAGTGAAGTGTGAAAAAAAAGAATGAAAGAAGAAGAAACTAAAGAAAACACAAAGGAGAAAAAAAAGAGGATCACTCTGGCTACATGTGGGGGCAAACTGGAAGTGGCAGCCCTTACTCCAACACACTCATGCACAGAAAAAACTTGAGAGGAGTAAGTAAGAATGACAACAGTGGCTATGTTTGCATATGACAAGCTAATATTTTTTTCCCTTCTACTTTAAAAAAGATATTTAATTTTTTTTTTTATTTTTTGAGTTGGAATTTCACTCTGTTGCCCAGGCTGGAGTGCAGTGGCACGCTCACAGCCACTCCAGCATCAATCTGCAGGGCTCAGGTGATCCTTCTGCCTCTGCCTTCCAAGTAAAAATTTTTTATAATTAGAATATTTATAATCATAATATTAAAAATCTTCAAACTTCATTAAGACAAAAAAGGGCACTGAAGAATGATGCTCCTAGTCTGATTACCAAGTGCTTCTTTAACATTTTCTTTTTTAAAATTTATTTTTTTATTCTTCATTCTATAAGTTCCTTTGCGAATATGAAAAAAAGTTAGGGACCCAGAGAATATACATTTGTCAAACTCATTGAACTGTATATTTAAATTGTGTGAATTTTATTGACTATAAAGTATACCTCACTAAAGTTGACTTTTAAAAAGCTATGACTCGGCCAGGCTCAGTGGCTCAGCCTGTAATTCCAACCCTTTGGGAGTCTGAGGCGAGTGGATTGCCTGAGCCCATGGGTTTGAGACCCGCCCAGGCAACTTGGTGAGACCTCATTTCTACAATAAATAAAAAAATTAGCCGGGCATGGTAGCGCATGCCTGTAGTTCCGGCTACTTGGAAGGCTGAGGCGGAAGGATCGCAGGAGCCCAGCAGGGCGAGGCTGAGGTGGCCGGGAGCGTGCCACTGCACTCCAGTCTGGGTGACAGAATGAAACTCCGACTCAAAAAAAAAAAAAGTTATGACTCTTCCTCAGAAAAATCCAGAAGACTGCAGCACACCATATTCTGCATACAGCTTCTGGATGTTGACAGGTAGACTCCAATGGCCAAGCCTGGCTGCCAGGCTAGGCATTCCTTTATTAGTGGCTCTCTCTAGAGAAAAAATTGCTGAGGAAGGTCTCTAGGTCTTGGACCTGAGCATGGTGGCTCAGCCTGTAATTCCAGCACTTTGGGAAAGGCGAGAGCATTGCCTGAGCCTGGGGGTTCAAGACCAGCATGTGAAACTTGATGAGACCTTGTCTCTACAATAAATCACAAAAACTAGCTGGGCGTGGTGGAGTGCGTTTGTAGTTCCAGTTATTTGGAAGGCTAAGGCCAAGGATTGCCTAAGCTCAGCAGGTCAAGGCTGTGGTGGCCATGAGTGCACCACTGCACTCCAGCCTGGGCCACAAGAGTGAGACTCCAACTCGAAAAAAAAAAAAAAAAATTCTGGCATAGGACCTAGCATTCCTACCCCACCAACTTCTCTTCCAATCCCCAGGCCTTATGATGCAGAATGGAAAAATGTGGGACGGAAAACAGAATCTCCCTTGACTGGAAAACCAGCTCAGGAAGGGAAAGAGGGAGTCGAGATGAAAAAAGGAGTCGGTCTAGGAAGGAGGGTCTGAGTTTTGAGGAATTCTGTTTTGGAATTTTGGTAGAGGACTCAATGACTGTAAAGTAAGAGAATGGAAGACAAGTGAAAGACTTTCTTTTTTGAGTTGGAGTCTCACTGTTGTCCAGGTTGCAGTGCAGTGGGATGCCCAGGCCACTGCAATCTCAACCTGCTGGGCTCAGGCAATCCTTTTGCTTCAGCCTTCCAAGTAGGGGAAACTACAGGCGTGGGCCACTATACTCAGTTAATTTTTTAAATTTATTGTAGAGATGAGGTCTCACCATATTGCCTAGACTGGTCTTGAACCCCTGGACTCTGGCAATCCTCTTGCCTTCACCTCCCAAAGTGCTGGAATTACAGGCATGCGCCACTGCACTGGGCATAAGTCAAAGACTTAAAAAGAGATACCATATGGGAGAGGATTTGGAACCGAGAAGGGTGGGAATGGAAGAGGGAAACATGAGGATTCAGAGGCACTCTTCTCTTTGAGGTGCTGGGAAATACCGAAATTGATTGACTTACATTTGCTGCTGGACTCTATCTCTTCAATATGACACTATACAGAGACTAGAGCACTGTGGGCCCTCAGGTATTTCAGATTATACTTACTGTATTATTATGTCCCAGCTGTTGTGCTAAGCAGTGGGGATGCAAAGTTGAATAAACACGATGCCTGGTCTCAAGCTGTTCAAGCTGCTTTTAGGAGGGGGCTGATATATAAATAATGCTAAGTGCTATGATATGTCATGAGCACCAAGGGGACTTATAGCACAGTCTTCAGAGTCATAAATAGGAGGGGGAATAGGCAGTGCAAGATGGTTTTGCATACTTCTGCGCTGAAGGGCTGCTCACCTTCAAGCTGAGATGTCTGGATAAGCACTTCAAAACTTGAGTCATGCTGATTGTGGCCCTCTCCCGCCTATGGTCTTTGACTGACTGTAACCAGGGTTCCATGTGCTATGAGAAATAAAGGGAGAATAAATGGTTTACCAGAAAGCTTTGGGATAACACCTTTGTTGTGTTTGGAAGAAAATATGGAGCGGGAGGCTGGGCATGGTGGGTCACACCTATAATCCCAGCACTTTGGGAAGCCAAGATGAGAGGATTGCCTGAGCCCATGGGCTTGAGACCAGCCTGGACATATTGGCGAGACCTCATCTCTACAATAAATCAAATAATTAGCTGGTCATGGTGATACAAGCCTGTGGTTCCAGTCACTTGGAAGGCTGAGGTGGAAGAATTGCCTGCTTGAGCCAAGCAGATTGAGGCTACGGTGGTTGTGTGTGTGCCACTGCACTCCAGCCTGGGCAACAGAGTGAGACTCCAATTCAAAAAAAAAAAAAAAAGAAAAAAGAAAACACGGAGGGAGAAGTTCCATGTTACTACTATGTCTGAAAATGTTTTTCTAAGTGATGAACCATTTTGGCTTGGAAGTGAGAGTGGTGGACGACAAGCAAAGGCATATGGACCCAGAAGGTGGCGGTGCAGTGGCTCACACCTGTAATCCCAGCACTTTGGGAGGTTGAGGTGGGAGAATCACTTGAGTCAATCTCCACAAAAAAATAAAAAAAATTAGCCAGGTGTGGTGATGGGCATCTGTATTCCCAGCTACTTAGGAGGCTGAGGTGGAAGGATGGCCCAAGCCCAGGAAGTTGAGGCTGCAGTGAGCCATGACTGTGTCACTGCATTGCAGCCTGGATGACAGAGTGAGACCCCAACTCAACAACAATAACAATAACAACAACAACAAAGACCCAGGTGGCAGGGGTTTGGCTGCATAGGAGCTTATTTTCCCTTCATTTCAATTTCTCCACTTAATTATTCTATTGTGCTATATGTTTTTAGCCCTTTCAAATCTACTTCAGAAACAAGTGAAGTTAGTAAAACCCTGAGGATGGAGAAATTTCAGGAAGCAGAGCAGTCAGGAAAGAATTAACGGAAAAGATAGTATCCATGAGTAGGAGCTCAACAAGAAGGTGGTATTTCAGGTAAAATAAATAGCTTGAATTAAGTTGTCAAGACAGGACAGTATGAAGTGCAGTTGGCTAAAGGGGAGAACGTGCTGGTTGGTATGTTCGTGTGCAGTAGAAGAGGAAGGAGAACAGCTATGCCAAGAATCAATGCCTATCTGCTCTTAGGTACAGATGATTAACAGCAGCTTACAGGGCTGACCCTTTCTGGGCAAGAGGGCCGGAGTGGTGGCTCATGCCTATAATACCAGCACTTTAGGAGGCTGAGGTAGGAGGACTGCTTGAGCCCAGGAGTTTGATACCAGCCTGGGCAACATAGGGAGACCTTGTCTCTTAAAAAAAAAAAAAAAAAAAAGGCAAGAGAGCAAGATGCTTGAACTGCAGTGAAGGTAATCCCATGAATAAATCCATAATGACTGGAACAGGCACAGGTGGGGGCTAGCTGCTTGCTGATTTACTAATTTATGAGGCTGACTCTATTCCCTTGTCACTGATTGAAACCCTTCTATGCTAGTAAGAAATAATAACTTAATGAAGAATTATAGCAACCATTTAAACCATTTATTGAAGGACATTGATTCAATGCTCAAAGAGATTATTATTTCTAGGTAAAGTGAAGAAACGACTGTGAGAGCAATTCCTTACAGAGTTTAGAGAAGAAGGATTTATAACCAAAGAATGACAGAGTCAGAATTTGAACCCAAGTCTCTGACTCCAAGCTGACAGTTGATACTCTTAACTACTAAGTTGCCCCTACAACCTAACTTCCCAGATGTTTGTCTTCCACTTTCACCTGTTAATAGGAATAGTTTCCCATTCTCCCTGATATCTTGTTTACCTTAAAAATGATGTCAAGATTTTCCAAATGTGGGTCTTTTACCACCAAACTCTGTAGCATCTCACAGAATGCCTGAAATGTCTGCCTGTAGAGAAGCTGAGAAGGCACAGGATCAGTGATGCTCTCCCAACCCATGGGAAGCTCCCCTAGCATTGCACGCTTTCTTTCTTTCTTTTCTTTTTTTTTTGAGTAGGAGTCTCACTCTGTCCCCCAGACCGGAGTGCGGTGGCTGCTCCCGGCCACCGCAGCCTCGACCTGCTGGGCTCTGGTGATCCTTCCTCCTCAGCCTTCCAAGTAGCTGGAACTACAGGCACACGCTACCATGCCCGGCTAATTTTTTGATTTATTGTAGAGATGAGGTCTCGCCAAGTTGCCCAGGCGGATCTCGAACCCACGAGCTCAGGCAATCCACTCACCTCAGCCTCCCAAAGCACAGGATTACAGGCTGAGCCACCGAGTCTGGTATTGCACACTTTCAAGGCTCCTCTGTTATCATGAGACTTTGAACCAAAGTTCCAGAACCAGTGAAAGTCCTGGTAGATTGTGGCATGAAGTGAAACAGAATAAATCTTCATGTCAAGTGGACGCCTCAGCCATTATGGGGATCACAGTTAATGGAATCTTACTATACCTGGGGAATTACTTAAGACATACTTTCAAAGTTCACTTGGGGCCGAGTGCGGTGGCTCATGCCTGTAATCCCAGCACTTTGGGAGGCCGAGGTGAGAGGATTGCCTCAGCTCAGGGGTTTGAGACTAGCCTGTGCAATTTGATGAGCGCTCGTCTCTACAATAAATCAAAAAATTAGCTGGGTGTGGTGCATCTGTGGTTCCAGCTACTTGGAAGGCTGAGAAAGAAGGATCACCTGAGCTCAACAGGTCAAGGCTTCAGTGGCCATGAGTGTGCAACTTCACTCCAGCCTGTGTAATCTAGTGAGACTCCAACTCAAAAAAATAAATAATAAATAAATAAAGTTGACTTGAGACTCTTTCTGCCATCCTGAAACAGAGGGGCATGAAGTCCTCTTTGGTAATTGCTCTACCAGCCAGTTTGCCAGCCACCGAAGAAGAGAGCAGGGGTTTGTACTCACCCTGCCCCCTGCTTGAAAGCGTCTCCTGCAGACATATCCACACACCCCTTTCTTCGACTGTCACCGCATGATGAAGGCTCTGCCTGGCCATCCCATGTGCCTTCCACCTACGACACTCTTTATCCTCCTCTTTCCCTGCTTTATTTTTTCATAACACTTATTACCAAGTGACATGATATTTATTTCTCAATGATTTTCTCTGCTCTAGAATGTAGGCCCCACGAGTGAGACTCTACTGCTATATTCTGTTGTCCATAATAATGCTTAGCACATGGTGACCTTTAAATAAATGTCTGCCAAATATATGAATAAATATCCCCACCTTATTTTAAGGCAAAAAATCAAATAAAATAAAAAGAAGAAGAAGAATAAATGAAGGGAAAATGAAAGAAGACAAAATAAAGGGGGGGGAACTATCTTCTAATTTAACCACTTTATTTTATTCACCAGACGGCTTACACAGTTTTTGCCTAGATTAAAAAAAAATCAAACACACACTCAAAGGCCAAGATCAGCTGGCTCTGTGGAGGGAAGTTACTAAAGCAAAACGTGAGTTACCTCTGAGTTGCAAGTCCCATCTGGCATGATTTCCTGCAGCTGGGCCAGAGTCCGTACAGAGGGCAGAGTCATTACACTTTTGGTAATAAGCATGAACAACTCAGTTCTATCTTCAGAGCCAAACAGCAAATGGACATCTTGGTAACTAAGGAGAGAGAGTTTGGGAAGAGGATTTGATTTGATATCAATAAGCAGGGATCAAAGTAACTAAAAACTTACCGGGCACAGTGGTTCACGCCTGTAATTCCAGCACTTTGGGAGGCAGAGATGAGAGGATTGCCTGAGCCCAGGGTTTCGAGACCAGCCTAGGCAACTCGGCAAGACCTCATCTCTACAATATATCAAGTAATTAGGCGTGGTGGTGCATGCCTGCATTTCCAGCTACTTGAAAGGCTGAGGTGGAAGGATCACCTGAGCCCAGCAGGTTGAGGCTGTGGTGGCCATGAGCATGCCACTGCACTCCAGCCTGGGCAAAAGAGTGAGACGTCAACTAAAAAAAAAAAAAAAAATCCAAAAACCAACTTAAGGGTAGACTGACTGGTGTACCCTTCTGATAAAAGCGACAAATGATACCACTAGTCAGTCTGTTGGACAAATCACATAAAAGGTTAGAGGAAGACTTTCCCCCTAAAAGTCACTGGAGTAAGATCCTTCCAGGCTTTTCTTCAACCACAGAGGGAAGTCTGCTACAGTCTAACATAGTAAGCCACAATTGGCCAAAGTGTGTCCTGCTGAATATTAGTCTAAAGAATAGTGGGTTGAATCAAGTTAAAAGTTTTTTAACTACAGGACTTCTCATGACCTTTAATCAGCTTAATTGTAGTACAAAGCTCTAAGAGACGTAAACAGCAGGAAGCACTTCCAAATTTCTTATATCTTGAAACTCTAACATCATGAAACATATATGGGAGTATCTTTCCATTGAAAACCGAACTCCAAAGAGCTTCCAATAAGGTCTTTCAGAAATGGATGGTAGCATCCATGAAATCAAAGTTTTCACTCAAAAGCCTGGGTTTGGCTTTCCTTTCTCTGTCTAAATAGTTTTCACAAGTTAAAAATATGGAACCCATAGTCGGCTCTGGCATTGGTCTGGAATGAGGAACTAGGATGTACGTGAAGGGGGCTTGTGGGGATCACCTGAGATCAGTGATGATAACAAAGATCTCCTGGCGCACAGGGCTGAACACAGAATGCTGGGGCTCCTCTTGCACCAGGACCTGCAGGGAGAAGGAAAGGACTTGAGAGACCTGATAATGTGCCTGCTCATCAGGTTGGAGCTGATCTGAGGTGTGGGTGGTCTGCAAGGACCCAGCAGTTCCTCTGCCAGTCCTGCTCTGGTCCCACAGGTCTGGCAGTAGGACAGTGGCAGAGCTAGGGGTATATTCTCTTGAGCCAGACCTAGCCCTGCCTCTTACTAGCTGTTTGATTTGACACCGCTTTTTAATTTTCTTTTTTGTTTTTTTTTGAGACAGGGTCTCACTCTATTGCCCAGGCTAAAGTACAGTGGCGCAAACATAGCTTATTGTAACCTCAAACTCCTGGGTTCAAGTGATCCTCCTGCCTCAGCCTCCCAAGTAGACACAAGTTATTTAACGTCTCTTTACCTCAGTTTCCTCATCTATAAAACCAGATAACAGTACTACTTACCTTCGTGGAGGGGTTGTGAGTACTAAACGAGCTAATTTATAATATCTAGTAGCCCTCCATATTTGTTAGTGCCTGTTATTCATTATTTTTATCATCAGTGATTCTTTCAAGTCGAGGCGTTGTAACTCCTCTTTCTACTAAACCAATCATTTCTACTATCATGTCTAATATTATGCTGACTTGTTTGTCCGGCAAAAGGAGTAGCTTTCCAAATTACAAACTGGCAAAGGAAAAGCTGCCTTGCTGTGCTGGAAACATCTGCAATGTGATAAACCAAGGAAGTAGAGAAGCTTGGGAGCTGCACAGTCCCTGGGCCAGACACTGGCTCTGCCACTCACCGCTGTGTGAACCGGAGTGTGTTATCAAACCTCCGGTGCCCAAGCCGCCTTATCTCTCTAGAGGAAATGAGCCGATGTAAATGGCTGTGTTGGAAGCCTTGCCAGATTGTCCACCGGGCCTCTCTGGAAACTGCATCCAGCCCATGGGAATGGGCACTTCAAAGCCACATGTTTGCTAAGTCATTCTGTCCCACGACCACAGCTCATTTGTCCAGAAATAGATAGCAAGATCAATTAGATTCTCTCAAGAATCTGGAATTGGGACAAAGAACTTCAATCTCAGTCTGGCTGGTCTTTCAAAGGAGAAATTTGTTTTAAATTTGTTCCTATGGACAAGGAAATTGAGATGGCCAATTTGGGGGAAGAAAGAGAAAAAAAGCGAGGGGGGGTGGAGAGAGAGAGAGAGAGAGAGAGAGAGAGAGAGAGAGAACTGGAAATTTATACAAAGGAGCAAAGAACTGGAGAGAAATTCTCCATGAGTATGTGGAAGCAGCTCCCATAAATTATTTTCTAGATTCATTCTCTTCCCCAGGCAGGCTGCTCTTGCCGTCATAGGGCTCTGGGGGAACATTCGGTGATCCTTAGAAAAACCTCTTTTAACCGGGCTCGGTGGCTCAGCCTATAATCCCACGCCTTTGGGAGGCTGAGGTGAGTGGATTGCCTGAGCCCGAGGGTTCGAGACCCGCCTGGGCAACTTGGCGAGCCCTCATCTCTACAATAAATAAAAAACTCAGCCAGGCGTGGTAGCCCGCACCTGTAGTTCCAGCTACTTGGAAGGCTGAGGCAGAAGGATCGCCGGAGCCCAGCAGGTCGAGGCTGCGGTGGCTGGAAGCGGCCACTGCACTCCAGTCTGGGCGACAGAGTGAGACTCCAACTCAAAAAACCAAACCAAACCAAACCAAACAAACAAACAAAAAACCAAAAAAAAAAAAAGAAAAATCTCTTTTGTGTTTCAAACGCTTTTAGTGGTTTTCTCTTACCTATCACCCAAAAGAGCTCACTAGGAACTCAGGAGGCAGTAAGGCCCAATGCACCTTTCCAGGTTCTCTTCTTGCCCCGTTCTGAGTTTTTCTCTTCCCGCTTTCCAAACTGGTCTGACTCAGATCTTGCTGGTGGCTGCTGCTCTCCTTCCTTTACTTATTCCTCAAGGAACTCATGTATTTTTATGGCTGTGTAGTCTGGAAGGGACAAAGTGTAAGGCTCTGTCTTCAGCCTGGACAGCTTTCCAAGGGCTCTACTTGCTCACCCATATCCAGTGACCAAGTCTGGGCCACTGAAATCCTTAGTATTTTGGTATTAAAAATAAGTACACTGTCTGGGCATGGTGGCTTATGCCTGTAATCCCAGCACTTGGGGAGGCAGAGGTGAGAGGATTGCTTGAGACCAGGAGTTTGAGACCAGCCTGGGCAATTGGCAAGACCTCGTCTCTACAATAAATCAAAAAATCAGGCGGATGTGGTGGCACATACCTGTAGTGCCAGCTACTTGGAAGGCTGAGACAGAGGGATTGCCTGAGCCCGGAAGGTTGAGGCTGTGGGGGCCATGAGCGTACTACTGCACTCCAGCCTGAGTCACAGACCCAAAAACCAAAAAATAAAAATACATAAAATTGACTTGGGACACACCTTCATAGCTTTTAATAGTTGTCAATGGTACCCTTTTCCAGAGTTCATTAAGATGGTGATTTATGACTATTTCTTGTTTGTTCAAACCCTACACTCCATCAGTTATGGAAATAGCCACTCCCTGGGTTTCTGACTCTGTTCCTGGAGCCATACGCCTCACATGTGGACGAAGGTGGTGCCTCCTAGCTGAAGCCCAAGTCTGTGATCCCCACTGACTACAGTCTACTCCACCCACTTCTAGCAGAATAATCTTTGGTTTTCTTTTCTTAATCAGTTGCATATTAAAAGCTTATTATTTGTTCACATTTATGCTAGCCACTGCAAGGAATTCAGAAGAGAGAGGCCATTTTTTGTTTGTAAAGAACTTGTGTAGTAGGAACCTCTCAGGGTGACTGTCCAGATCACAGCAATCACCCCTTCTCTATGGAAATGCCTTCAACACACAAGGAAAGCTGCCCAAAAGTCACATCTTTACTTGAGGATCCTGCCTCCAGACATACCTGCTTGATGTAAGGGTGGAGAACAGACCAAGTCTCTCTTGCAGAATTTGGTGTTTTAGAGTGACAGAAACTGGAAGCTGATAGAGGTTTGAGTCAAGGTGATGGTAGAGCAGTCCCTGCCTCTGAGACCTCTGGAGCTGTCCTGGAACTCGCCTTTGTGGAGGCTTGCTTAAAAATCTTCCTCAGAGTGTAAGAGAGATAGACCGGGATTTTTTTTTTTAAGAGATAGGGTTTTACTCTGTTGCCCAAGGTGGGGTTCAGTAGTGTGATCATAGCTCACTGCAGCCTCAAACTCCTGAGCTCAAGGGATCCTCAGCTTCCTGAGTAGCTAGGACTATTTAGATAGGTATCACTACCTCCATTTTATAGGTGGAACTACTAAGATTCAGAGAAGTTAAGTGATTTGTCTAAGGTGGGTAGGGTTTTGTGGAGGACCCCATGCAGAATTAGGATGAAATCCCAAGGTGGCAGAGAATTAAGAGGCACTAAGGACAAGTCTGGTTAAAGTTCTATTATAGCAGGTCTTGGTGTCCAGGTCTGCTGTTGAGTCACTAAAAAATATCCCCCTGGCCACTCTGCCACATTGCAAGATGAAAAAGCTCGGCCTTGGCATATCCAGGTAGTAATCAGCTCACCCGTCTGAGGTCCTCATCCGGTGGTCCCTTCTCTCTTCTCTCAACTCTATCATATCCTTCAAAGATCAGCTAAGATCTACCTGGATTAATTTCACCCCAACCCTGCCATCATTTTACTCTATATCCCAATTGCCATAGAATTCTCTTTCCCTTTGTCTTTTAGAGATGGTGTTTTGCCATGTTGTCTGTGCTGGAGTGCAATGGCTATTCACAGGTGCCATCATTATACACCACAGCTTTGAACTCCTGGGCTCTAGTGATTCTTCTGCCTCAGCCTCCTAAGTAGCTGAGACTACAAGCAGGGGCCAGCACATCAGCCTCTTTTTTATTGAAGTTCTCAACAGATTTTTTTGTAGTACACAATGAGATGTACGTATTTAAAGTATACAACTGGATGACTTTTGATACATGTATATGTCCATGAAACCATCAACACCAAGATAATGACCATTTTGATCACGGTCCAACGTTTCCTTGTGCTTCGTTGAAATTCCCCTTCTTCTTCCCACTCCACTCCTGCCTCCAGGCAACCATTGATGTGCTTGTCACTATAGTTTATATTTTCTAGAATTGTATATAAATGGAAGCACACAGTATATCCTCTGTTTTGTCTGGCTTCTTGCACTCAGCATAATTATTTCGAGAGTCTTCCAAGTTGTAGCATATATCAACAGTTTGTTCCTTTTTATTTCTGAGTAGGATGTGTTGCATGGATATATAGTACCTCAATTTGTTTATCCATCCATCTGCTGAAGAACATCTGTGTTTCCGCCAGTGTTTGGCTCTTAACATATAGGGCTGTTATGAACATTTGTGCATATATCTTTGTGTGGACATATGCTTCATTTTACCTAAGAGTAGAATCGTTGAGTCATATGGTAAGTGTATGCTGAAGTTTTTAAGAAACCGCCAAATTGTTTTCCAAACTGCTTGTGCCATTTCAAATTCCTCTCTGCTGTGTTCAAGAGTTCTGGCTGTTCCATATCCTGGCCAGTGTTTGGTATTGCCTTTCTTTTTCGTTTGAGTCATTCTAGTAGGTGTGGAGTTGAATCTTGCAGTTCTAATTGGCTTTTCCCTGATCACAATGATAGAGCCTTTTTTTTCCTATGCTTATTTATAAATCTTCTTTGGTGAAGTGTTATAACAAATTTTTTTCCCTTCCTTCCCTTCCTTCCTTTCTGATCTTGGCTTCCTAGGGTCTTTTTATTTGGATACTTAAGAGCCATGTACTGGTGTGGGACATAAGAAGAATGGCAGGGCTGGGTGCTGTGGCTCAAGCCCATAATCCCAGCACTTTGGGAGGCTGAGGCGAGAGAATTGCCTGAGTCCAGGGGTTCAAGACCAGCATGGGCAACTTGGTGACACCTCATTTCTACACACACACAAAAAATTAGCTGAGCATGGTGGCACATGCCTATAATTCCAGCTACTTGGAAGGCTGAGGCCCCTAGCCCAGCAGGTCGAGGCTGCGGTGGCCGTGAGCATGCCACTGCACTCCAGCCTGGGTGACAGAGTGACACTCTGACTCAAAAAAAAAAGAAGACTGGCAGATGCCTTAGTTTTCTTTCTCTATAATGACTCTGACTTCTTCCTCCTTGTGGGTCCCTCAGCAGAACTTTCTCCCCTCGGGCACCTCTCTTCTTGGTGGTTTTGAGCCTTGCTTTTCCAGCTCTTGTATTTGGGCCTGCAGGGACTTTGTAGACTCGTACAATGCTGCAGTGGTTCATGCAATTTTCTCATGGACCCTAGCTATGCCTTACTAGGCTGAATCCCCTGCCAGTCCATACTTTGGTTGATATCTTATGTGGGCATTTTACTACTGGCTGGACAGATGCAAATACACAGCAATTCAGTGTGCCTTTGCTGTTTGAGACTTGGATTTGTGGATTTTATGAGCTGGCTGGCTGAACCGTGTGGCAAACCATTGCTGCCAATTCTGGTGAAAGTGGAACTTTAGAAATATGCCACTTTGGCTGGGTCCTATAGCTGATGACAGCCCTTTTTCCAAGGAGGATAGCGAAGTAGAAAGATGCAATCATTCTTACATCTGCATTACAGCTTTCTGTTCTTCTTAATGTATTATTTCAAATGGTGCTTAATCTATTTGCTTTTTGAGGTATAGTCATTTCCAGATGGAGTATAAAAGTCTTGGAGAGCAAAGATTAAAATTTCCGGGAAGTTTATAATCTTTATCAAAGCACCACAGTGTATCAGATATACAAAATCCTTGGTAACTGCTTATTACTTAAGAAAACTGTTAGCCGGGCTCGGTGGCTCAGCCTTTAATCCCACGCCTTGGGAGGCTGAGGTGAGTGGATTGCCTGAGCCCGCGGGTTCGAGACCCGCCTGGGCAACTCGGCGAGACTTCATCTCTACAATAAATCAAAAAATTAGCCAAGCATTGTAGCGCACGCCTGTAGTTCCAACTACTCGGAAGGCTGAGGCAGAAGGATCGCCGGAGCCCAGCAGGTAGAGGCTGCGGTGACCGGGAGCGGCCACTGCACTCCAGTCTGGGCGACAGAGTGAGACTCCAACTCAAAAAAAAAAAAACTGCTAGCTGGTTAGCTTTCAATTTTAAAAGCTAATCATCAATCTAATCAGCATGATATAGATCTGTGGTCTGAGAAAGAACTACTCATAGTCTTGGAGAGAGAGAAAGAGTATGTGTGGGTGGTGTGTGTGTGGGTGTGTGTACCAGGGGTGCCAGAAAAAGCACACACATTTTAAGAGATGTTATCTATGTATTACTTTTTGAAGCTAAATTGAATTACGGTAGCAATGTATAGTATGATGTTTGCTCACAAGATGGTATTAATCAAATGAATGCTAGCATCACCATGTTACAGGCAGGATAGTTAAAGAAAATGGTGGAAGCACAGTTGTCATTTGAGGAGTGCAAGACCATTTTGAAGTAGTATTTAAAATTCGAGAACGTCGTGGAAGTACAACGACAATGGAGGCCTGAGTATGCAACAGAACCTCCAACACATCTAACATTTGTACACATTTGTGATGAGTTTGAGATGCATGGTACTGTGTGTGACATGCACAAGGGAAGATCCAGGAGGCCTCGCACAGCAAGTCTTGCAGTAGTTTTGTGTAATCAGAAGTATTTGGCTGCTGATGGTAACCACTTTGAGCACCTCTTGTAATTACAGAAGTCAAACATGACTTGTAGTCATCTTTTGTTATTGGTATATATTATTACAATTTTAATACAGTTTTTTTCTTTCTTAAAATGTGTATACATTTTTGGCACCCTCTGTATATGTATATATTATAATACTATATAATAATAATATAATATGTATAATATATAGTATTTAATATACATTAATATATTATCTATTTATATATTATATATGTATATATAATTTTAAGGCTTTAGAAAAACTGAAGGGGGCATTTCACACAAGAAAACAAAAGCGCCGGGCTCGATGGCTCAGCCTGTAATCCCGCACCTTGGGAGGCTGAGGTGAATGGATTGCCTGAGCCCGCGGGTTCGAGACCCGCCTGGGCAACTTGGCGAGACCTCATCTCTACCTTAAATCAAAAAATTAGCCGGGTGTGGTAGTGCGCGCCTGTAGTTCCAGCTACTTGGAAGGCTGAGGCGGGAGGATCACCGGAGCCCGGCAGGTCGAGGCTGCGGTGGCCGGGAGTGCCACTGCACTCCGGTCTGGGCAACAGTGAGACTCCAACTCAAAAAAAAAAAAAGAAAACAAAAGCACCAAGAAGTTAAGTACTTGCTTAAGTGCATCAGCTTTGTAAAGCTCTTCTGGAAACTTTGACATGGAATTAACCACTCACTCCTCTATGTCCCCAATAAAGCCATTTACACTTTTGCCACAGTCTCTGTGACACTTGACTACACCTGGCTTGGCTGCATGAACAGGGATTATGTCTTGTCTTTTTAGCCCCAATTCCCAGGACAGTGCCTGGAACTGTCAGGCACTTAATAAGGAAACAAATGCATGAGTTGGTGGCAGAGTATGGCTAGAATAAGTATAAATAAGACAAATACAATAATACAATCATGCTTCTGAAATGCATAATGTGTGTTAGGTACCATAGATTATTATGGTTTAGATTATTTTTTTACTTAATGCTTACAATAGTTCATTTATTTCTTACTTAATACTCACAAAAGATCTTCTTATTTTATAGATGAGGAAACCAAGGCACTGAGAAGTGAGGTAATTTTGCAGAGTTACAAAGCTATAAAAGGGCACTTGAACCTGGACATTGGATTAGAGAGATTCTCTGAACTACTGCTTGATTAATGAGAAAGTTTAATGCTGTTCCTCTCCTTTCTACTCATCTTTCAATCGGTTTTCAAGGGTGATTATATTTGTAGGGTACCCTTCAGTATTTGTCTTCCATGCAGAGATACTGGTATGGGAAGAGTTTAAGGAAATTGGTAACATAGATAAGTCACTAAAAAATATTTTGGCCAAGACACTGAATTTGTGTGGTTCCAATAATTTGTGAAATGGTCATAATACTTACACTTAGGATCTGTACAATGTCTGCTACGTGGCTGTGAATGAATGATTCTGTGGTTTCATCATAAGGTAAAGTTTGGCTGAGAGAATATAAAGATCTTAGGAATGTCAGCTTCGCATGTTCACCCTGAATTTGTGGAAAAATTATGAAAAACACAATTATACACTATTACCTATTTTTGATAAATGTAGAGGGCTTTTGAAAAGCTTCTTGGAATGTTTGAAACATCTGACATCTCATTCAATCCAGTATCAGTCTTTTTCTGAGTCACAGTCTCACTCTGTCACCCAGGCTAGAATGCAGTGGCACACTCAGAGATCATCACAGCCTCGACCTCCTGGGCTCAGGCAATCCTTCTGCTTCAGCCCCTAAAGTGGCTGGGACTACAGGTACATGCCACCACACCTGGCTAATTTTTAAGATTTTTTTGTAGAGATGAGGTCTCACTTCGTTTCCCAGGTTGCTCTCAAACTTGTGGGCTCAAGCAACCCTACTGCCTTGGCCTCCCAAAGTGCTGGGATTACAGGTGTGAGTCACCACGACTGGCTTAATATCAATCTTTTAATAAAAGGAATGAATAAATTACAGAAGACTTCAGTGAAACTCCTTGTCTACTGGCCCTGTCTTGGTGTGGAACTTTGTTTCTCCTCTCATCTAGATTACTAAGTGCTCTGTGATGGCTCTTTCCACCTTTAGTCTTTGCTTTCCCACCCACCCGCCCTGGGTAGTGCTGCCTGATTAAGCATCCCAAAGGTAACCTATGATGTTGCCACTTTTAGTTCTCTTGACGTCATTAAAGTTCATTCTCTTGACTTTAAGTTTTCTTATTAAAATGCAAATTTTTATTTAAATAATAAGATTTTTGGGGGACAAAGTACAGTGGCTCACACCTGTAATCGCAGGATTTTGGCAGGTCGAGGCAGGGGGATTGACTGAGGCCAGGTGTTCCGAGATCAGCTGGGCAACATAACAAGGTCTCATCTCTACCAAAAACTAGCTAGGCATGGTGGCATGTGCTTATAATCTCAGTTACCACAAGAGGCTGAGGTGGAAGAATTGCCTGAGTCCAGTAGTCAAGGCTGCAGTGAGCCATGATTAATGCCACTGTATTCCAGCCTAGGTGACAGAGTGAAACTGACTCAAAATAAATAAACAAATAAATAAATACACTTTTTGTATTAACATTTTCTTTTTCTGATTATAAAACCAATATTGGCCGGGCATGGTGGTTCAGCCTGTAATCCCAGCACTTTGGGAGGCTGAGGCAAGTGGATTGCCTGAGTCTGCGGGTTCGAGACCAGCCTGGGCAAGTTGGTGAGACCTTGTCTCTGCAGTAAATCACAAAAACTAGCCAGGTGTGGTGGCGTGCATCTGTAGTTCCAGCTACCCAGAAGGCTGAGGCAGAAGGATCGCCTAAGCCTAGCAGGTCGAGGCTGTGGTGGCCGCGAGTGTGCCACTGTACTCCTTCAGCCTGGGTGACAAGAGTGAAACTCCAACTCAAAACAAACAAACAAACAAAAAACAAGTATCGGCTTGGTGGCTCAACCTGTAATCCCAGCGCTTTGGGAGGCCGAGGTGAGTGGACTGTCTCAGCCCATGGGTTCGAGACCTGCCTGGGCAACTTGGCGAGACCTCATCTCTACAATAAGTCAAAAACTAGCCGGGCATGGTAGCGCACGCCCGTAGTTCCAGCTACTCGGAAGGCGGAGGCGGAAGGATCGCCGGAGCCGAACTGGTTGAGGCTGCAGTGGCTGGGAGCGGCCACTGCACTCCAGTCTGGGACTCCAACTCAAAAAAACAAAAAACAAAAAACAAGTATCTGTTTAACACAGAAACTTTGAAAAAATACAATATAAAGAAAAAAACAAAAGGCACCAATAACTCTACAACTTTGCAGAGATTTCTTCCAGCTCTTTTTCCCTCGGATATACAGATGATGTAGAGCGGCACAGACACTCTGAAGTGCACACAGCAGCACAGCCAAAAGCCGGCTTCATCCCCCGTGACCTCGTCTGTGGGTCAGCACAACCCCCCGTCACTGCCCTCCTCTGGTCCTGTTTGGCTTCCCTCCTAACCACTCCTCCAGCTGTCGCCCAACTCTTCTTTGTCAAATGCAAATTTGATCAGGAAACTCCTTACCCAGAGTTTTACAAAGCACCCATGGAGGTTGAGGCCCTTCCCAGTGTGGCCCCCGCTGACCACGTGAGCTCCTGCCAGAATAATTTTTATGCTGCCCTTTCTTGCTTGTGGGCCTTCGCACCTTCTGACTTCTCTACATGTGCTGACTGAAATCTACACACATTTTAATAATTGGAGAATGTATTTTCTCCTGAAGCAGAGTCCGGTCCCCTTTCTATGTGTATTCATAAGCCACAGGAGTAAATTGCTATCATGGCACTTGTGATACTCTGACACAATTCTTTTTCATCTGTTTCCTTGACTGACTGTGTAGTCTGGTCAAGCCAGGGAATGGCCTTTTTTTTTTCACTGCAGCAATCCATGCTCTTCACTAATTACAGAAAAATCCAAATCAAGTCTTGCTGACAGGAAGCATAATGATTAGTCCAAATCAAAAGTAAAGACTGGTTGTGCATCGTGGCTCATGCCTATAATTCCAGGACTGTGGGAAGCTGAGGCAGGAGAATCACTTGAGCCCAGGAGTTTGAGACCAGCCTAGGCAACATAGTGAGACCTCATCTCTACAAAAAAAAAAAAAAAAAAAAAGTACAAAAACTATCCAGGTGTGGCAGCATGTGCTTATAGTTCCAGCTACTTGGGAGGCTGAGGTGGAAGGATCACCTGAGTCAAGAGGTGATGCAGATTTTTCAGGTCAGCCTGGGCTTCAAGAGTGTCAGCTCAGTGGGTCAGCCAGCCAAGCCCCAGAGAGGATAATGGAGAGGCTGGTAAGCCTAGCCCCACAAGTGTCAGCTCTAATGGGCTGGCAAGCCAAGCCCTGAGTGTTGCTGGTTTGGTGGGCTGGCAAGCCTAGCCCGCTGGGTGCCTTAGCTTCGGAGTCTTGCCTTCGTCCGGCAGCTCTCCTGGTTCAGCTGGCTCCCTCGGCTGGCAAGCCAGCCTCTGGGGTGCACGGCTTTTTGACTCCAATAATCTTCTGCAGCTCTTCAGGTTGCAGCTCTTCAGGGTTAAGGTTCTTGTCTCATGCCCAGAAAGAATGAGGGACATGGATAGCTGGGAAGTGAGAAAGCAGGATTTATTGAGGACAGAAAATCTCCCACAGCGGGAGGGGGCCCGAAGGAGTTGCCCATCTGGGGCTGAAAACCTGGTGCTTACATAGCCCTAAGTCCAAGTCAATTGGCTAGCACTAGCTGTGAGCTGTTGGTGTTCTGGTTGGTTGCTTTTCAATCCCAGCAGTGAGGACTTTAGCTCTAGCTTGAGAGGCTTACAGGGAGTTTGTTTACCCATGCTGAGCCTGAGAGGCCTGTCAGGAGTTCACTACATTGTTACCAAAGGACTCACCAGTCTGCCTGCCTAGCCTTTCTCTAGCTATCTCCTGTCTCAGAGGTCAAGGCTGCATTGAGCCAGGATTGAGCAGCTGCACTGGGCGACAGAGTGAGACCCTGTCAAAAAAAAAAACCAAATCCAATATCAAAAGTGCAGGCCATCATGTTGGCTTTAGGTATTTTATTTATGTTTTTTATTGGCAGTCTATATACAGAAATGTATAGCTTGGTGCATTGTCACAAACCAAAAACACTCGTAGCCAGCAGCAGACTATTACCAGCATTCCTAAAGTTTCCTTCATCCTCTCTTCCAGTGGGGTCTCTTTTAAAAAAATTATCAGTTGACAAATTATAATTACTATATTTATGGAGTACAAAAGTGATATTGCGTTTTTTAAAAGTAAAATTGATTGTGGATGTTTGCAGTTTTTTTTTATTTTTGATTTGGAGTCTCTGTCACCCAGGCTGGAGTGCAGTGGCATGCTCATGGCCACTGCAGCCTCGACCTGCTGTGTTCAGGTGATCCTTCCACCTCAGCTTTCCAAGTAGCTGGAACTACGGGTGTGTGCCACCATGCCTAGCCGGTTTTTTTTTTAAATTTTACTGTAGGGATGAGGTCTTGCCAAGTTGCCCAAGCTGGTCTCGAACCTCTGGGCTCAGGCAATCCTCTCACCTTAGCCTCCCAAAGTGCTGGGATTATAGGTGTGAGCCACTGCACCTGGCTGGGGTATGTAGTTCTATGCATTGCAACACGTGTATACATACATGTAACCGCCACCATCAGGATGCAGAACAGTCCGTCACCCCAGTATTTCCCTTGTGCTCTCCCTTTATCATCACACCCTCTTCACATCTCTGATGCCTAGAAATCCCCAACTTGCTCTCCATCACTATAGTTTTGTCATTTTGAGAATGTCATGTAACTGAAATCTTACAGTATGTAAACTTTTGTGACAGACTGTTTTCATTCAACATAATGCCTCTGAGGCCGAGGTGAGAGGATTGCCTGAGACCACAGGTTCGAGACCAGCCTGGGCAACTTGGCGAGACCTCATCCATACAATAAATCAAAAAAATCAGCTAGGCACACTGGCACATGCCTGTAGTTCCAGCTACTGCAGTTTGTTCCTTTTGCTGACTAGTATTCCATTTTACAGATGTGCCCTAGTTTGTTTACCTGTGAATAGACTCCAGTTACTTCCCAGCATCTAGCACAATGTCTTGTAAATGGTAGGTGCTCATTCATTAGTTGCTGATTGGCTGAGTGGGATTTAAAAGCCATACAGAAGGTGAATCACTGGGAACACTAACTAGAGAGAAGTAAACTGTAATACTTGCTTCTCAAGAAGGTCCAGGCCAAGCAAACTACTACATGAGGGAGGATGAGAGACATTAAGACTTAGAGGTAAAACAAATGGACACACTTTTCTTTTGTCAATTTGACTGGTAGTGATTAAACAAAAAAAGTAATAATGATTTTGGACAGTTGTAAGCCACTAACATTTAATATACTTGGCTGATGAGAGGATACATAGGCTTAATATTCTTGTAGCATAATTTAATAGTATCTACTAAAAGTCTAAGAAAGGTATGTACCCTTTGATTCTGCAATGTCACCTCTAGGAATTTACCCTAGAGAAATAATCTGAGGGATGCATAGAAATCCACATACAAGAATATCTGCCAAAGAAATACAATAACAAAAAACCTGGAAATTAACTAAACGGCTAATGCAGGGGTGTTGTTAAAATGAATTAGGATATTCATTCCCTCGTGTACTCCTTATTTATGTCATTGTTCTCAGGCTCAAAATCGATGTTCTTCCCCCAGTTCTCCAGGCCCAGCATGGCCTGTCCTCATCTCTTCAGCCTCACCTGGCATTGCTCTTCCTTCTCGCCACCATGGCTTCTTGGGTTCCTCAAACTCGTTGTGTTCCTTTCTGCCACAAGGTTGTTAAACATACCCTTTTCCATTTCTAGAATACTTCTTCCCAGTTCTAAATTCTAGTTTTCTCAACATATTCCTCAGATTTGAGCTTATGAGCTACTTCCTCAGAGCTGCCTTTCCTTGCCCTCAGGTTAAAAGAAGGTCTTGGCCTGGCTTGGTGGCTCAGCCTGTAATCCCAGTACTTTAGGAGGTCAAGGCGAGTGGATTGTCTGAGCCTGCGGGTTCAAGACCAGCCTGGGCAACGTGGCGAGACCTCATCTCTACCATAAATCAAAAATTAGCTGGGTGTGGTTGCATGCGCCTGTAGCTTTGGCTACTTGCAAGGCTGAGGCAGAAGGATCGCAGAGCCCAGCAAGTTGATGCTGGGGTGGCCATAAATGTACCACTGCACTCCAGCCTGGGCAACAGAGTGAGACTCCATCTCAAAAAAAAAAAAAGAAAGAAAGAAAGAAAGAAGCTCTTATGTTTTGTGCTCTCACAGGATGCATGAACAAATGTTTCACCTGAACAATGAAATACTGGGCAGCCATTTTGTAGAATCACATAGATCTATAGTTATTGACCTAGAACATTTTTTCCTCCCACTATATATGATTTTCTCCCCATAATTTCATGCATTTGCATGGGCAGAAAAAAAGTCTAAAAATACATAAACCACTACTGTTAGCAGTAGTTATCTCAGGAGATTGCAATTAAGAAATAGCAGCTTTTATTTTTATTATGATTATATTTTTATGATAATTTTATAATTATATATAAAATACGTATTTATTAAAAGTATAAACATAAAACAAATATAAACACATATGTATGAATTTTATCATCTATAGCATAAATTATTTGCATAATAAATAACATATTTAAAATATTTGTTTAAATGGGGGAAGAGGTTGGACTCGTAAAGACTGCTTGTGCATACCTTTAGCTCACCATTAAAAAACTCCTGAGTGGTTTGGATAAGCCTCTCAACGGTGGCCTCCCCGGAAGGCGCCTGGTGAGTCAAGTGTCCAAAGTTATCTGAGAGGAACTCCCAAGGGAGTCCAGGAATGTCAGGGATGTCCAAGTCTAATATCAAAAGAAAGACACTGGATGATGATTCCATACTGTAAAGCGTAAAGTGTAAAGTGAGGCTGTTTAGCAGGAAGAACCATTGGACATTGGGATAGTCAGATCCTGCCCTTATCCTTACTACCTGCTCTACAACCTTGACCAAGTCCTTTCCCTTCTCTGAATCTCAATGACATGTTTCTCAATTACAAAGGCAATGTTCTCTTAAGCTACAAAAACATTTGGGACCGAGCTGTAGCAGAATGGTTAAAAGCATGGACCATTTGAATCATGGCTGTATGACCTTGATCACATTAGCTTGCCTCCTGGAACGTTAGTTTCCTCATCTGTAAAACAGGGTTATTGTAAGAATTAAATGAGGTCTTCTATGCAAAGAATGGGTCCCGGTACTATTTTCCCTTAACACATCTATGGTCTGAGGAATTCTACCACTTGACTTTGTACTGCTTTGATCTTCTGAATGCCTCTTCTGCAAACTCCAGAAATTTATTCCCTGCCAAATTCTTGTCATCCCCTAATTGCAATGATCGAAAGCCATGTTCTTATCCACCTCTGGCCTCTGCACAGGCTGTTTCTCCTACCTGTGTTTCCCTCCTTCCTCTCCTCTTTCCTTTACCTCTCCTGGCTAACTCCTACTCATCCTTCAAGACTCAGCTCCAGGATGCCTTTTCTGTCTCCCCTTCTTGCCCATTTTGGCTAGGTATTCTCCTAACCACTAATAAGCTTTCTGTCCAGTCTGCCTCCCCGCCTAACCCCCATCACAAGGATTACATTGACCTCCAATTGCCTATTTATCTATAAAACACTGTGTCTGTTCTGCTCACTGCTATATCTCCAGTAGCTGGATTAAGCTTAGAGCATAGTAGGGCTTCCATAAGTGTGTGCTGAATGAATGTACAAATGAATGCAGTTCCTCAAACACACCAAGGTCTTTCCTGTCTCATGCACATGTGTTCTGTCCATCTGGAACGCTGCTCCCTTACTCACGCAGAGTCCTCTCCTATATCCTTGAGACCTCCTTTGGGTGCAAACAGAGCCATCTCCTACTGGCCTTCTCTGACAACCATAGTTTGAAGCAGGTTCCCATTTCTCCTATTTCTGGTCTCAGCCTCCCCAATGCTGACTCTGACTTGTGGTTGCTTTAGCTCCCACTCCATGGCAACCCACGTTGCCTTTGCCCTCTTTAGAATCCCTCAAGCACAGACTCAGCTGCAGAATCTGCAGACCTGTCTATCTCAGGACCACGTTAGTTTCCTGTGTGTCTAGAATAATTTATCTCATCTTACTTTGCCAGCCATGTACCCACATCTCGATGTCAGGGACCAAATTCATTGTCAAAGTCTAGTTGAGGGTTGGTCACATGGCAAGTACTCAATCAATTCCTCTTGGCTTGACTGGAAAAGAGATTCCCTTCTCCACCCGCCCTCCCCTTTTTAGTCCTTTCCCGTCTTTACCTGTAAGTTCAAGGCTACTTGGGTCCTTTCCAGTAACCTCTAACCTGCGCAGCTGCAATTCTATACTACACGAGTCATTGTCAGAAGCACAAGGAATCACTACTTCCTGACCACAGATCCTAGGAATAAAGAGGGGATTAGAAAAATTACAGCTTTTCAGGACTGCTTCTTTCTCAACATTCAATTAAAAGTATAAATGTCGGCTGCTCCAAGAGGCATTTGTTTATCACCAATCTCCAGTAAGTGGCTCCTCATCCTAGCCCCACAGTTCTGTTCTTATTTTTTTTCATAGTGTTTAACCATCACCTACAATTACCTTGTTCACTTGTGTTAACTTGTCTGTCTCCTATCAGACTGTAAGCTCCGTTAGAGGAGAAGCTTTGTCTACATGGTCATAACTATATTCCTAGTAGCTGCATGAGGCATTAAATGGCCAGGTGAGAAATATTATGCTGCTGTCAAAAACAAATGGAGGCAGAACAGCCCACCCAATATCCCTCAATACTTATTCCCTCTTCTGACTTTTTATTTTCTCCATAGCACACAATGCCTTCTAATATTCTAATATAACATTCATTTACTTATGTACTTTTTTTTTGAGTCGGAGTCTCATTCTGTCACCCAGGATAGAGTGCAGTGGCATGCTTATGGCCACCACAGCCTCAACCTGTTGGGCTCAGGCCA